CCTCACAAGTCACCCTCCCACCGCTGGCTCCCCACCACTCTTGGGGCTCACCTCTCCTTCCCCATCTGCAGGGCTCTGCCCACTGCCCGCCTTGTCCCAGAGGCCTGAGACTCTGCCCACAGAGCCCATCCACTGCTCCCAGCAGCCCACAGGTCCAGGTCCCATTTTCCAGGTCCCAACCCTGGAACATCTCTCTACACACAGCACCATCACTGTGCAGAGATGAGACACAGCCCCACCTCACAGGCCCACAGCCCCCTCCCACACAAGCTTCCGTAGGCTCCATGACAAAACGAGAACCTCTCTGTGCAGTCAGCACAGCTGTGGAGGAGAAGGAGCCAGCCACCCTGCTGACAGAGGCCACCCAACACCACCTTCATCCTCTCTCCTCCGCTGCAGGGTGACAGCGGCGGTCCTCTCGTCTGCAAAGACAGCCACGCAGACTACTTCTGGCTTGTGGGTGTCACCAGCTGGGGGCAAGGCTGCGCAAGAGCAAAACGCCCCGGAGTCTACACCTCCACTCAGTACTTCTACCACTGGATCTTGATGCACATGGGACTGCATCCAGCATTGAGGGCTAACCAAGAAGCACGGCCATGGGGTCATTACCACACCCCCTCAACCACCTTTCAGAGGCCAAGACCAAGACCAGGGCCAGTGCCAATACCAACACAATCAGGCACCTTTAGCTCCTGCCCATTTCCAGTCCAGAAGCTGGTGGAGTTCTTTACGCGGGTGCAGCAGCTCCTGCCCCTCCTAACAGGGTACAAGGCTTGAGCAGCAGCAGCAGCACCTGCTTGTTCTTGAAATAAAGTTGTGTTTGTTCTTGAAATAAAGCTGACTTCGTTCTTGAAAGATTCAAGTTGCCAGTGTTCACAGCGAGCCATGCTTCTGTCAACGGGATATTCCGTACCATATAACGTCATGTTCAGTATATTAATGAGAGCAGACCAGAAAGCTGGGCATTCTCTCGGGGATGGCTCAGGCTCACTCTTCCAGGATTGTGGTACTCACTTGTACATTCCACCTCACTGGAAAGGTAGTGACAAAGTAAAAAAATTTAGAAGACAGCAAAGCCAGGGACTGGAATAAGAGTGCTATCGGGAAGGACAGAAGATACACACTTACCAAAAGCCACCTGGTTAGTCAATACTAGAGGATCTGCCAATCAAGCTGGCCCTGCCCAATCAAAACTTTTACATACAGTGGAAGGGGACAAAGTCCCTGTAATGCACACTAAAAATTTGCTTGGGAAAACAGTCTGGGTTATTCCTGCCTCAGGTAAAGGTAAACCCATTTGTGGGATGGGTTTTGCTCAAGGACCTGGATGTACCTGATGGGTAATGCAGAAAGATGGAGAAGTTCGATGTGTACCTCAGGGACACTTGATTTTAGGTGAAACTAGCCAATGGATTGCATATCATCATTGTTATAACTGTTGTGCACCATACTAACAATTTTATACTAAGTATTTCCCCAGGTTAACAAAATATGAACTCTGATAGAACCAGAATTGGTGCCCAGCAACTTATTTGAGATCAGTATCGGTAACCCTGGGCATGGACTGTACCGAATACGCCAACTACAAACTCTGGATACAGCGCACAACAGAGACTACACAACATCCTCCTATTGCACCTGATGACACCAGTTTCAAATACAAACTCACAACAGAGACTACGCGCCATTCTCCTCCTGTACCTGACGACACCAGTTCCGTGAACTGTACAATACCCGGTGACATCAGCTCAATTAGCTGTGCAAAGTCCACATCATTTTTCTGCCTCAAAAGACCATTACTGCAGATGAAACCTGAAGTTATGGGTTAAATGAACCCAAAACATATTTTGGAGAGATAGCCTGTGAACTAAGGGAATGATATCTGTATATATGTGTGTGTATCTATCTATCCATCTATCTATCTATCTATCTATCTTTCAGTAATAGTAATTGATCTAAATGTATTAGGAAGTGTGAAAACCTGAGCACGACGTAAATGGTATGGAAGAAGGGGTGGATATTATCCCCTGAGGGTGAGGAGTGTGCAAACTGCTGTGTCTGGCTGCTAGCCAAGTGAAACCACCACAGGTATATTCATTATTTTTACTACAGTAAAATTAAGAAACTGTCAGAGAAATCATCAGAACATGAAGATCATTTGTTGTTTAATCTTTCACTAAATATTTGTTAGTTTTCAGTTTCTGGATGCAGGATTATGGGACAGTGAACAGCTCTTAGGACTGGGTACCCAAATGTCCTACAGCTTTGTCAAGAGATTGATTCAAGGCGAGACCAAAAGCCTACGCCACCAGCTGCAGGACTGTATGCAGGCCAACAGGAGCAAGCACACCACTCGGTACTGCCTCCAAACTGAAATAATTAAGAACCAGTTTATTAATTATCTATGATAGGCTGTCTCTTCAGTCTGTGCTTCGTTCATAAACAGATGGACTATAAATATTCATGAGCAAATTTTTCAAAACCAACTTGTAACTGCATAACCAAACACTAACTGGATAAACCTCTGAAAATATAATTGAAACAGCCCTCTGAATGTAAGAAATATAGAACACAACCTCATAAACGCTGGACATCTTAAAAAATTATTGTAGAATTTGAAAGACACTATTAAATGACATAATGGCACTAAATTAACCCGGTTTTGCAATGACATTTGACAATCCTTATTGAGTTGTGCTCTGTTGTGCACAGGAGAATAATCAGAAGGAGTGCTTGGTTTATAAGGACATGAAAGAAAATCTGGCCTAAGAAATACAGATGGCATATTTTTCCATTTCTTTTTCTTCATAAGGCAAAAACAAATGGACATTCATAATTATGAGAGACAGTAATGTTTGTGTTGACCTCTAAATTCAGTTCTGTGACCCTTATTTTGTCTGAAAAGCTTCTGATTTTGTTTGCTCTTTCCTTTTGTATTTTTCCACTTTGAAGTAAATGCACATTGAATAGTAAAGTCTTTCTGCTCAGCAAGAGCACTATTAATGAGAAATATGCCCCAAAATGTCAATGCCAATCATTCAGTTGTGTTCACTCTAGAAAAACAGGCTGCCTGCAACACCACAAAACAGTTTCTCTTTGTTTGCATTTGTTGTGAAAGGGCAGAGTTGAGGTAGGCAATGAATCTCATGACTTCTGGAATTGCTAGAGAACTTTTGACAGAGAAACTAGAACATGACAGATTTTTCCATACTGAGGTCTCTGTAACAAGCCATCAGCTGAGTACAGGATGAAGGGTGTACTTCAAAACCTGTTAAGCTCTAAGCAGAATCCATGGGCTTTGTAAATATTGAGAACACTTGTGGGAAGTGTTTGGTATGCAGGTGTTTATTAATCTTGCTTTGTTTAGCCAAAAAACTATGGCTGATTTGAAAATAATCTTCTAAATGTGTAAATTCCAGAGTTTTCTTTGTAACCTCCCCACTGTATGGGTTTATTGATCAGTCACAGCACAGGTCATGATTAAATGCAGGGTCCTGCATGAACAGAGGAATACTGCAGTATTAATATAGCTCCTAAGTGTGGCAGCTGGCAGGGTTAAAAAGCAGACTCTGCTACAGCCTCCTGAAAAGGCCTACCTACCATATTTTAAGTTCTTTTCCCATCTCCAGTAAGGAGCTCAGAACAAATCAGAAACACACCCTGTTTATTCCTTGTCTTCTAGCTCATGAAGAAAAATAAATCATTAGGAGAAAATAGCTTCCTATATATTCAATGGAACAAACAAAACTAAAACAGTATACTCAACACCTCTGGAAAGACTTGTAGCTGATGCAACGTACTAAGAAACTGAGTCTTTTTGGTTCTGCTAAATGATGCAGTCATAACTGCCACATGAATAATAAAATCCTAACACTGGCAAACACAGGTAAAAGAAAATAACCAAGTGGTCCTCTGGTTGTACTCAGAAGGAAGGACAGGACAAAGGCAATGTTATTTTGAGGGCTGATCAAGCACATAGTATTAAAATAAACACTGAGCTCTAAGGAAATCTGTGTTATGCTCCAACTCAAAAAATGCTGAGAGTCACAGCTTACAGGGAAAGGAGAATCAGGAGCTGATTCAGTGGTTCTGTATCACTCAGGTCTTTACCCCTAGAGAGCAAAGTGTATCCATGAGATATCGGCCAACTCTGTGAAGCAGGAATCATGCAAAAAGCTGCTAGAGAGGGATTCAGAGATGAGCTGAATGCTTTCTGCTTATTTTTTGGGGTTTGGATTTTTTTTTTAGTTCATAATGTTCCTAAAAGTATATTTTCATTGTGTTCCTTTGCAGTCATCTTATTTTAATTTAAAGATGTGTGGAGCCCAAATATAAGACTATATTTTCAGGTCTGGAGAGTAGTTAGGTTACCAAATGAGGTGCTGCAACTGGAACTACGTATAAATTTATTGCTTAAAAAAACCCCAACCAAACAACAAAAAACCCAAACCTGAAAGCAGAGTCTCTGTAGCAGAACAGGAGATTTGAGTTGCATTATAGCCACAAAACACTGACATTCTCGTTTTTATAGTAATCCTTGCAGCAAGAAAGAAATGTAATATTCTAACTTGAGTTGTTATTACTAAAAATGGGTATCTTGTTGGAGAGAAACTGCAAGAGTTTACAACCACAGCAACCTCAGCAGCAGCAATTCTAAACTGAAAATAAAGATCTGAAATGTTTAAAAATCTCAAAATGAATATAAAGGCAATTGTTGTACCACAGCATGCAATAGTTACTCTATGGTTATTTCAACATGTACAAAGTACCTACCGTGACGGTACCTTAGACACGCTTCTGAAACCTTCTAGGGTAAAATTTATTTATATAGATTGAAAAATAAAGCACTTAAATTTAAGAGAAGCAAATGTCATTCTTTCTTTATGCCTTCCCAACCTATGCACTAACCAAAGCAGGGCACCCCGAGGCAAATAATAGGCTAGCATGTAATTGTACACTTTATCATAATGTATGCACTCTAAAAGGCAAAATTAAAGATACATTTACTCTCATGGGAAGAAAAAAGGAAGTAATGATGGTGAAGATTTTAGAAGCCTGCATTTGTCAAGAACAGAGAATTAAAAGGCTTTTAGCAAATGGACTTTTCCTGACTGGTAAAAGTATCACATTGATAATTCTCCACAGTTACAGCTCCAGCACTGGTAGCAATAATGGAAGTGATGTTAGAAGTAGGACTCAAGGCACTGAGCCTCAAATTGCTGTCAGCACCAAGGGGAAATGCTACATCTAATTGTAGATTCTCAAACAATCAGCCAGTCTGGTTTAGTCTGATGACCCATCAAGACTCAATATAGAACTCAAGTAGGATTTTCTGGAAATAGTTGGTATATAAATTCTTAATGTGACTTCTGGAACACACTGTTCAGACCTTGTGCTCTTTACATTCAGTTTTTTAATTACTTTTTGTAGTATCTTATGGCATTCAACAAAGAACATATTTAATGATCAGAAGATGTAATTTCATACAGGTTAGCTTTAGTAGAAAGCCAAGCATGCTGAGATCGAAGAGGACAACTCTCACAAGAGCCTGTATTCACAATTACCTTAATAGTCTCAGTTTCAGAATGAAAATAAGCTACAGCTTTTCACTCAGTAGGTTTCTGTTCCTTGTTCTAGTACATAATTAATTTAAATACTAATAAATAATCATCAACTTTCATCTTGTTCCTGTTGCTGCAATAACAAATCAATTCTCAATATTATTCAAAGGGTGCTTTACAGATATGGACCTACTTATCAGCAAAGGCTGGGAGTAT